ACCACGACCACGACCACGACCACGACCACGACCACGACCACGACCACGACCACGACGACCACGCAGACCACCACGACGACCACGAAGACCACCACGAAGACGACGAGAACAGGGAGCCATGGCGCGTGCAGCTCGTGCCTCCCTACCGTGCCCTGGAAGCGGCCGCTGCGGCAAGGCCGGCATGAAAAGAAAACCCGCGACGAAGGGTTGTTGCCTTTTCGTTTGGCCCCTGGCTTCTTCCCCGTTGTTGGGTGCTTCCCGAGGGGCCTCGGTGCCCGAGGCCGCCTGCGCGCCGCTCGCTCGCCGGATCTCGGCGGCTGGGCCTGTTCCCCCCCCCCTCCTCCGCGGCCGCGCTCCTCCCGCTCCTCCCTCTCCACCTCCCCCATCCCCACCTTTATCGCCTTTCTCGTCGTCCTCCTCCTCCTCCTCCTCCTCCTCCTCCTCCTCCTCCTCCTCCTCCTCCTCCTCCTCACTCTCCTCCTCCTCCTCCTCCCCCTCCTCCTCCCCCTCCTCCTCCTCCTCCTCCTCCGCGGCCTCGCTCCTCCTCCGCGGCCGCGCTCCTCTTCTCCAGGCTTGCCTTGCGCTCGCTCCCGGCACGCCCTGCCGCCCGCGACCTCCGCGCCCGCGCTCGCTGGCGCCGCCGCCTTTTGGTCGCAGCTTCACCGGGGCCCTCACAGCCCGGGATGTGAAGAGCGGGTCCCGAGGGAAGGCCGCCCCGGAGTTCCGACGATGTGGGCTCTTCAAGCCAGGCGAGCTTCTTCGATTCTGGCCTCTGGGGTCCGTTCTCGGGCCCTCCGCAGCGGCCGGGTCCGCAGGCGCCCTCTCCGCCCCCCCCTCCTGCCGGCGTGCACGACGCGGCCAAGACTCAGCCGGCGGGTAACGAACGCCAGACCTTCGCGTCGCGAAGCAGCACTCCCGGCAGAGCACCCTGACAGCAGCAGAGGCGTCGAGGCCGGTCGAGGAGCAGGGGGCCGGCTTATAGTGATAGGGGCGGGAGCACGGCCTTGGTGCACGGTCGAGCCTCTGATTCAGAAGCCTCCCGACCCGCCAAGCTGGGCCAGCGTTTCTCGACCACTTTGCCGGAACGTTGGCCCCGTTTCTTTCGCCCGTTCGTTCCTCCGGCGCTCGCGGCTGAACTTTGCCCAGGCTTGTTTGGAGGAATCTCGTGTTAGCTTCGACCAGAAGAGGTGCGCTCTCGACCCGCGGATCAAACAAAGTTTCGAGGAATCTCCAGGAAGCTGGCCCAGATTTCCTGATTGATAAGCTTCTTGATCCTATTTTCGGCTGTGTGTTCTACCTGGGGTCGTGGCCGTCGGGACAAAACGTGTCGCCGGCATGGAGGCCAGAGCACGGCTCCTGCGTAACATGTCTGAGGAAGTCCTGGGCGAAACGGCTCCCGAGGCCACGCGTCCTCGGGCTCCCGGCCTCCCTCATGGGACTCTTCTGCGGTCGTCTCTCGCCACTGCCAGAGCCCTCTGGCGAAACGCGAGTCGGGAATCACGACGGCAGGTTCTGGCCCTGGGACAGTCAAAAGACCACTCGGGATGAGGAGGAGGGAGGAGGAGGGAGGAGGGAGGAGGGAGGAGGGAGGAGGGAGGAGGGAGGAGGGAGGAGGGACGGAGGAGGAGGGAGGAGGGAACGAGGAGGAGAAGGAGGAGGAGGAGGAGGAGGAGGAGGAGGAGGAATTGGAGGAGGAGGAGGAGGAGAGGAGGAGAGGAGGAGCAGGAGGAGGGAGGAGGAGGAGGAATAGGAGAGGAGGAGGAGGAGGAGGAGGAGGAGGAGGAGGAGGAGGAGGAGGAGGGAGGAGGAGGAGGAGGAGGAGGAGAGGAAGCATGGAGGAGGAGGACGGAGGAGGAGGAGGAGGAGGGAGGAGGAGGAGGAGGGGGAGGAGGGAGGAGGAGGAGGAGGAGGTGGAGTGAGGAGGAGGAGGAGGAGGAGGAGGAGGGAGGAGGAGAAGGACGGTTCGCCTATGCCCTTCGGAGCAGCCCTCCCCCCCTCGCCCCGCGCCAGGGCCCCAGCACTCCACGCCTGGACTCCCCGAGAGAAGGGAGCCCCCCGGGGAAGTCCGACCCCGCCCCGGGGGGGCTGGCCCCTCGTCCCGTGGAGTTGTGCCGACGCTCCCCGGGGAAGTGCTCGGTGCATCCCGTATCTCGGGGGCGGAAAAGAGGGGGGTGATGACTAGGGGGGGGTGGATATCATGGCGCGGGCCATGATATTTCCCCAGATTTCATGGCGCCTCTTCTTATTCCATTACGTCCCTGGCCCCCCCGCTGGGCCGCGCACATGCCGCCGGTCATGATTTACACCCCCCCCTCTTGGACACCCCCCTCTTGGCCGCTCCCGAGTATCGGACAAAGGCAGGACATCGCACGTCTGGGCAGGCAGGCGACGCGCCAAGGGGGCTCGGCCAGACCGCCGGATCCTGCACGATCCTGCGGTGCCGGCGTACGTGCCGAGCCCGGTTGTTGGGAGCCGGTCGCGGCCTTGGGGGCGGCTTAAGACATCGGTCGAGCCGGTTTTTGGGAAGCCCCTCAGAAAGTTGCAGAGCTCTTTTTTCTAAATTGGCTGAGCTGGGTTTGCGCTGAGCCAAGTTAGACCAAAGATGCTGCAATGAGGACCACTCTGAGATCCTATCCGAGGAGGGCGAGTTGAGACAACGGTAGTCGGCCTTCGGGGAGGGCCGTCGTCGCCTCAGCTGGACGCAGCTCGAAAGACTAATGCGTTTGGACCCAGGTAGCGGTACAGGGATCGATCGATTTTGAGCTGCCGCTGTCTCAGCTCACCCTGCTCCGATTTCCGACGATCCGGTTTTTCCTCTCCGATGGGGCTTTCCTCGATTTCGGCCCCCGGGGTCCGCTGTTGGGCCCCAGGACCATCAAAAGCCAACCTGGGACGGAAATCTATCAGGAGGGAAAGAAACACACAGACACAATTACGTCGATGTTCAAGAAGATATGGAAAATATGGGAAGTGTGGGGGGGAAAACAGAAACCGAGAAAATATGTGAAAATATGGGGAATCCTGTTATTTGTATGTATTTATTTGTGTGTCCTGGGGCTCCTTCAGTCTAATCCTGGGGAAGGGGTCGGAAGGGCCTGAACCGCGCATGGAACGAACGTGTCGGATGATGTCTGGGGCGGTGCAGTCGAGGTGCGGAGGTGAGGACCACTTTGACATCCCAGGCCACCGCCAGGGGCACCAAGGCACTCGCGCTCTTTGCTTGTTCGCCTGCTTCTGCGTCCGGCCCCGAGGGCTGCCCTTCTCTGCCGGGAGCGCGGTCAAGGCTGGATTGATACGGCAGAGTTCGAACGCCGACGGGGGCGCGAGGCGCGGAAACTGGGTGCCCCCGGGGGTGTTGGGGTTCGGAGGGCGATCGGTGGCCTTGGTTAGGGGAACAAGTACAGTGGCTAGAACATTGCACCAATGTGGAGGTTTTGTTTGGTCGCACGTCGCGGGAGCGCGGATTGCGCGAAACTGGGTGCCCGGGGGTTCAGGAGGGCGATCGTGGCCTGGTTTCGGGGAAACAAAAAGTGGCATAAGCATAACATTAAAACTCGGGAGGTCCGGCGGATTTCTCGGATCGGCGCTGGGACCCCCCTTTTTAGCATGTGGTTTTGTCTGCGGGTCGTTTTTATTGGTTTGTGGTGTGGTGGTTGATGGTTTATGATTTTTTTGTTTTTCTTCCCTGGCGTGCGGCGCGCCGCCAGGGCGGCGCCGGAGCTGCCGCTGGGGTTGGCCCATGGCGCCATCGGGAAATCCGCGCGGACTCGAGTGTTATGTTTATGCCACTTTTTGTTCCCCTGCTGGCGCACCTCGGAGCGCCCTCCCGGCTCCTGGGCCCTCGGCGAGGGGCCCCGCGCGCCCCACCCGCGCCGCCGCGGCCCGTGCCTCGACGGCGCGAGGGGTGCGCAGGCGGGCGGGGCAGCCGAGAGCCCGCCGCGCTTGGCGCAGCCTGCCGCCGTTCGCGCCGCGCGGGCCGCCGCCCCCCCCCCCCCCCCACCCCAGCGCCCGAGGAAGAGGCTCGGCGACCTGGATCCGTCACACGATGCGAGTCGGAGGAGGAGCAGGAGAAGGAGGAGGAGGAGGAGGAGGATATGAAGAGGAGGGAGAGGAGGGGGAGTCGGGGGGAGAGGGAGGGAACTCCGCCTCACGCGACGGAATCCCTCTGCCCAGAGGCGGGAAGGGAGTTCCGGCTGCCGCCGGCGAGGCTCGTGATAGTGGCGACCATTGACATCCACATCGACGCCACCATCATTGCCATCACGTGATCCCCCCCTCCTCCCTCCTCTTCTTCGTGCATTGGCCTGCCAAGGGGCAGTGGAACCGTCATCTGGCCCTTGGCTCTGGTCAGTTCGATGGTTCTGGACAGCCCCCATTTAAGTTTCGAGTGGTATTGAGGGTCTCGCTACCCCCTTGCCGCTCTGTTCTTTTGGACCTCCTCGCGGGGCGGGAGAGGTAGATGTCGTACTGGGGGATCTGCCGCCGTCGGACGCTGGCAGAAGTAAAACGAGGTCTCCCAAGAGGTGGCCGTAGCCATTTTGGCTCAAGCTGCTCAGGCCTTGTTCGCGACCAGTCGGAGTCGTGAGCGGTCGTGCGCGCAGAGAGCCGCCGCCCCTTGCACCTCCAGCCATGGCGAGGGCCGCCCTCCTGCTGCTGGTCACCGCCTCGCTCCTGAGTGTGGGCGCCTCGGCGCCGCACAAGCGCTTCGCGGGGGGGAGGAAGGTTCGAGGGCAGCTGTCGGGCGACGGCGGGGCCCCCTATCACGGACGAGTGCTTGGACGTGTGCCCAGGACTCTCAGATATGATGGCCGCTCAGGGCGCGCTTGGAGAGCCAACACCAACGGAACGGACGGACCTCGATTGTGACCACGAGAGTGCAGTTCAGTGCTTCGTAGACGAGCTGACCACGTGCAGCAACTCCCAGGTAGCAGACGAGTTGATCATGATGGCCTCCAAGCTGGAGTGCATCTGTGACACGCGCCCCGGCGGCAAGCCTGCGTGGGCCAATATTTTGGCGTCCAGCGACGATGACGGCGACTCGGATAGCCGAAGGATGGTGGGCACAACCACTTTGGCAGACGGCACTGACACCACCGGGGCCGATGATGACAATTTCGACGAAGATTCAATGTGCCCCCTGTACCCTGTCGTCCTCTGCGCCGAAGACTACGAGACGGACTGCGGCGCCATTCTTGAGGAGATGAAGAGATGAACATCAGTATCCCAGGGGACGCAGTCACCCACCTCGAGTCGGAGTGCACCGGCGATTGCGCCCCCGGCGCGGACGACGACGACGACGACGACGGCGACGGCGCGGCGGACGTGGTCAGAGGTTGTGGCCCGTTCGGCCTGGGATGGATCGCCGCGTCGCTGGTCCCAGTGATGGCGGCGCTTGAGCTCGTGGCGGCCTGATGCTACCTCCCCAGACCCCCTCGCGTCGTGAACGAGTCCCTCCCTTCCTCCCCCCCCCCATCCGCTGTCTTCTGCAGTGCCGCGCTGGGCCGCAGTCGGGCGGCGCGAGAGCAGGAAGCCGTCCTCTCTTCCTCCTTCTGCCGCCGACCGCCGGCCAGGCCCCGCGCCCCTGCAGCGCAGCCGCTCGGAATGAGGAGGGGGCTCGGTGACCGAGCCCCTCCTCTCTCATCGCGAGGGGAACAAAAAGTGGCATAAACATCAAAACTCGGAGGTCCGCGCGGATTTCTCGGATCGGCCCAGTTTTTATGTTCATGTCATGTTTTGTTCCCCTAATCACCCCCCTCTGCCCTCGTCGTTGCCCTCCCCCTGCCTCTCCTCCACCCGCCGGCGCGCGCCAGGACGACTCGCCGCGGCACTTTCGAGCGGAGATTCTGCCGCATCCTTTGCTTCTGGGTCAGACGACACTCCTGGCACGCAGTGCATTTGAAGCCATCCATGGTTCCATGCTTTGTCTGAGCTTCACGGCGAGCTCTACCACCCCCCTGTCCTAGCTGCTCTCTCGCTCCGTTTTTTTGTTGCTTTTCGGGCCAGTGGCGAAGGCGCTGGCCTGGCCTGACGGATCGCGCGGGTGAGAGAAGGCACAGGATACCGCAGGAACAAAAAAACGGTCTCCCAAGAGATGGCAAGGTTTTTCGGCCCACGGCTTCCGGAGCCCACCGTATGTGAGTAAGCGCCAGAAGCCCCAGGCGGATGCACCTGGGCCTGGCCCATCCAAAGAGCATTTCGAACAAACAATCATCAACACCCACGTTCGCATCGCCATCTCTGGAGCTTAAAACGTTTGCGTTGGCGGGGGCGGGACACGATGGGGAGGGGGGGGGGAGCAGCAGACGTGATGAACTACAGGATGGATCGCAGGGACAGGAAGGGAACGTCGCAAAATGGGGGCGTGGGAGGGGGATCTGGCGTGGACATGGGGAGACGGGTGGGAAGAGGACAGAGCCGGTGGAGAGGAGGGGGCCTGTCACCTGGAGCACCCACGGCCACACCAGCAGCACAGCCGCGACCGATACCGCGCTTCCGCCCCCGCGCCCCCCTGTCACGTGCTCACTCTCTTGCCTTCCTCCCCCGCAGTCCACATGTGACCTAGGACCTCTCCCCTCTCTCTCCGTCCGCCTCCCCTTGCCCGTGCCCTCCTCCCATCCCGCCGCATGCCCCCGTCCACTCCTCTCGGCTCGCGCCCCTGCCCCTCCTCGCCCCTCCCCACCCCTCCCATCCATTCCCCCCCGCCCGTCGCATCTCTGCGTCCTTGTCCCGCACCCTCCCATGTCCTTCACCAGGGGGATGAGGAGGAGTTGGGACACCGATGGGGGGAGGAGGGGGGGGAAGGAGGAGAATGAGGGGGAGGAGGAGGAGGAGGAGGAGGAAGAGGAGGAGGAGGAGGAGGAGGAGGAGGAGGAGGAGGAGGAGGACGAGGAGGACAAGAAGAGGAAGAGGAGGAGAAGAAGGAGGAGGGCAAGGACGAGGAGCGGAACACAACGAATGTCCATGGACGCAGGCATAAGCCCTGACGGCGGGGCGAGTGCCGCACTCGATCGCGTACGACAGCCGAAGGAAGGAGGAGAAGGAGGAGGAGGAGGAGGAGGAGGAGGAGAAAGCAGAGAAGCAGGAGGAGGACAAGGACGACGATGGAGATTAGTAGGAGGAGGAGGAGGAGGAGGAGGAGGAACAAGGACGGGGGGAGGGAGGAGGAGGAGGGAGAGGAGGAGGAGGAGGAGGAGGAGGAGGAGGGGAGGAGGGAGGAGGAGGGGGACGAGGGGAGGCGGGGGAGGAGGAGGAGGGAGGAGGAGGAGGAGGAGGATAGGAGGAGGAGGAGGAGGAGGAGGAATAAGACGTGGAGGCGGAGGTGAGGAAGAGGAGGAGAGGAGGGAGGAGGAGGAGGAGCATGAGAGGAGGAGAGGAGGAGGTTGGAGGAGGAGGAGGAGGAGGGAGGAGGGGAGGAGGAGGAGGAGGGGGATGAGGAAGGACCGATGACGAGGAGGTGGAAGAAAACAGGACGAGGACAGGACGATGGACGAGGACGAGGGAAGGGTGGAGGAGGAGGAGGAGGAGGAGGAGGAGGAGGAGATGAGGAGGAGGAGGTGGGGGAAAAGGGGGGAGGGGGGGGGAGGAGGAGGAGGAGGAGGTGGAGCATCATAATCAGAGAGAGGAGGGGCTCCTTCTGCCCCCTCGCCTCCGCCTGGCGCCCTTGGCCAGACTGACGGAGCCCCGGAAGCAGGAGCTCCAGGCGTGGCTGAAGGCGTGGGGCAAGGCGCCTCAGAGCCGCGCGCGGTGTCGGAGGAGGATCCCCGCTTGCGCGGAGGCGGTCGCAGGAGGCAGCAGGAGGAGGAGCGCACAGGAGGACGGAGGATGGACGGAGGGAGGGGATCGGAGGGAGGGGGGACGGAGGGAGGGAGGGGAGGGGGGAGGACAAGCTAGGTGCGCTCGCGTCATATCTGACATCCTACCCCTTCCTCCCATCCCTTACCATGGCGTAGATCCCCTCTCTACTCGCACAGTGGGATGTCGAGCAGGGCAATGATCCCGAACGGGTACGCGATGCATTGTAGAGCACGGCATGGCATGGCGTAGAAGAGCACCGCAAAGCGTAGTATCAACCTAGCATTGCATTGCATGCCGTGGCATGGCACGGGAAATGACGCCAGCGCTGCAGCGGGAGCACGAGTCGAAACGAGCGGAAGCGCGGAAATGAGGCCAGCGCTGCAGCGGGAGCACGATTCTGAACGAGCGGAAGCACAAAAATGAGGCCAGCGCTACAGCGGGAGCACGATTCGGAACGAGCGGGGCCCGAAAATGAGGCCGGCACCTCAGCGAGAGCAGCATTTTCAAAACAAATGCAGGCGAAAACCTAATTCTGGGGAAACCTGTGTGTAAAAAACAGTACGCGGGGGGGGGGGTCGGCCACTTTCAAACCGTCATCAGGGGAAGAGGGAGAGTACTATTCATATTGAGTAATTGTAGAGAGGGAGGGAGGGAGGGAGGGAGGGAGGAGAAGAAAGGAGGACGGAGGAGGGAGGCGGATAAGGGAGGAGGGAGTGTATGATGGAGGAGGGAGGAGGAGGAGGAGGAGGAGGAGGAGGAGGAGGGAGGAGGAGGAGGAGGAGGAGGAGGAGGAGGAGTTGCGGGTTGTTCTTTTGCAGCGGTTTTGTTCCGGGTCGCGTTGACCGATATGTTGCGGGACATTGTCGTACGTTTCCCGCCCCCCCATGGTCTCCGCATATGTCATGGTAGACGGCGGCGTTAGTCGGGCCATCGGTCGGGATCGGGTTGTCAGCATTCTGTCGTATCCGCTCCTGTGTTGTTCTGCATTCAGCTTAAGAGGCCGAGGACATGGTTGCTAGCCGAACCAAGGCTAAAATGATTAATCGCCGCTAACCCAGTTCTCTTTGGGCAGAGTCACGGCGCGGACGTTGGAGGTCCGGATCTTTCGGCTTGTGGCGTGGGTTCAAGCTACGGGGTGGGCTTTCGCGATTGCCGCGCTCCCCCGGGCAGCGCAGAAGAGACGCATTCAACATGTAGTTGCCCGCAGTCGCCGACTCTACGCCCTCAGGGGCGGCGCTGAAGTATTTCATCGTGTAGTTCGCACAGGTGGCCTCTCAGCTGCGCTGTGCGGAGTTCGTGAAGTTTGGGCGTCGGACACGAATCAGAACAGACTGCGCAGAGCAACGGTTTCCCCGTGGTATTAGATATTCTCCCGCTGTCCCTGGGGGACATATATTGCACCACACAGATTACACGACTAATAATACACGCCATACATTCCGCCAAACAGGTGTTCCACTCCTGAACAATTAGACTCTGCCCCGTCCCGAAGTCGGACTCGAAGCCCCGCTCCGCGCATGTGTGTGCATAGTTCTCTGCACGATCGTCCACTGTCCGTCCGTAACATAAGTTCACCACATCATCCCAGCCTGTCCCCTTACCGACCCCCCTCCTTCATTGTCAGATACGGTGGAGGCATTCGTTGAGGAGTGTGCCCAGTAGGCTGCAGACCCTGGAGGATTCCTTATCTGATGAGGGCGGCGGTGACATCCAGGGCCGAGCTTCGATTGACTTCCCACTGGCTTCCAGAGCCTGGATTCCTCATCGAAGGGTTCCTTACCCAATGCCCCCACCGTCGGGCTGTGGACCCCAGGCCTGCTGGCCCGCGAGGAGCGCGAGGGTAACCGCTGCTTGCGGGGGGGTCCTGCCTGCTGGCCCTGTGCAAGCACTGCTGGGTGCGCTGAAGTTGCTGTGCATGCACGCGTCCGCGCTCGAAGTGACATCCAGGGCCGAGCTTCGATGGACTTCCCACTGGCTTCCGGAGCCCGGATCCCTCATCGAAGGGTTCCTTCAGCCACTGCCCCCACCGTGCCGACCCCCCCCCCGCCCCGCTGTCGGATAGCTCTGTGCGGGGCATTCGCTCTCGCCCTGCACGTGCTTTCCCAGGGGGTCCGCACCGGGGTGCTATACAGCGCGGGGCCACACGCGCGCACCCGTGTCGAAGACCTGCCCCCCCCCCTTCTCCACATCCCTCTTCCATGTCCCCCTCCTCCACATCCCCCCATCCTTCCCTCCTCCCCTCCTCCACGTCCCCCTCCTCCACGTCCCCCTCCTCCACGTCCCCCTCACCCAGAAGTCCGTCTCCCCTCCTTCCCTCATCCCCCTCCTCCTTCGCACGCTCCCCCTCTTCACCTCCCCCATCCTCTACTGGTTTGTTGAGATACACCCTGGTTTTGCTGAGTTGGGTTGTGCCCCCTCACCCTGAGAGGTTTCTGACCGATTTTCGAAAGACTTCCGAAACGGCCCTCTTGGAGGCCGTCTTGGCCGTTCCCATCCCAGACATGCGACGCCCCGATTTTTTCAACGCGCGGTCCCCGGAAGTCCCGGCCCTTTCCCCGGGGGCCGTTTTTTTCATCCTGAGAGTTGTTTTGTTGACGGCCCGGCCCGGCGAGGGGATCTGGAGGCTGAGAACGGCAACAAATGTCCGTCCCGAATTTTGCACGACGCGATCATGTCATGTTTGGCACTGGCCCATCTTGGTTAGTTGTCGCGGGGACAGACCCCCGCGCGCTCGACAGGAGGAGGGAGGAGGAGGAGGAGGAGGAGGAGGAGGAGGAGGAGGAGAGAGGAGGAGGAGGAGAGGAGGAGGAGGAGGAGGAGGAGGAGGAGGAGGAGGCGGGGGAGGGGGAGGGGGAGGAGGGGAGGAGGAGGAGGAGGAGGAGGAGGAGGAGGAGGAGGAGGAGGAGGAGGAGGAGGAGGAGGAGGAGGAGGAGGAGGAGGAGGAGGAGGAGGAGCGCGGGCTCAGGCCAGGCGTTCTGCCTGCGAGCCAGCGCCAGGCGACTTCTGGTCGCTGCCCGCTTCCCCTCTCGCCCCCTTCCCCACCGCAGGCATGAGAACCGCCTCGCCGCCATGGATCTCAGACGGGGGCCGACCGGCTCGGCCTCGTCGCTCGGCGGCCGAGCGCCGGGCCCAGCAGCATCGGGCGCAGGCTCGGGCCATACAGGCTATCCTGAAGGTTTTTTCCGGCTTTCCACACAGAGGCTGCCAGCAATCGCGCCTCGGCGAGGCGCTGAGCCAGACTCTGGCGGCCACCACCCGTGGTTCGCTTCGCCGTGAGGCTCCTGTCTACGTGCCTTGCCAGGGCGAGGCAGACGCATCGGAGCAAGGTGAGTGCTGCGGCGGTCTCGGCCCAGGTCCCGCAGCTGCCGCTCGAGAAGGCGTCGCCCGCGGCTCCGGGAACTGGCGAAGGTGCTGGCCATGACAGAGGGGCTGGCGAGGAGGCGGCGCCCGCTGCCCGAGCACCTGGCGCCAGCTGCGCGAGTGCTGGCCCTGGCGTCGGCGCTGCCGCTGCCGCTGCCCGGACTGGGCAGGCGATGGACGCCGTTCCGCTGGGGCGTAGGCGCGGCACGCCTCGCCCATCCCGCGAGCCTCGTGCATCCTCGGCCACCTCTGCTGCACCGAGTTCCTGCTCCGACAGTGCGGCGCTTGAGGTGGAGGCGATCAGGGTTGCCGCAGAGGGCTGCTGCGATACGGCAGGTGCTGGTGCAGATCATCTGGGAGGCGCTAGTGCCGATTCTCGTGGAGATGCTCAGCCTCGCGGAGGTGCTGGCGCTGGTCCGCGCGCAGATGCGGGCCGCCCGAGCAGCGTTGGTCACACCCCTCGGCCTCGACCTGCAAGCGAAGCCTCAGGAGACGGAGAGAGGGATCCAGTCTGTGTCCAGGATGTTGCGAGCGAGGTGGAGAACAACGCTGCCAGGCACATCCGGTGGGCCGAAGAAAAAGTCATGCTGCTGTCTGAGTTTACGGCCTCCGCACTTCCTGTCAACCTGGGCGCGGTCTCAGCCAACATTTTCGAGGAGGTGCTGGAGCGACACAAGCTGCTGGAGTCCGAAGCCATCGCCGCTCTGGCCGACGCCAGGACTGCTTCCCCCGCGTCGCCTGCAGATGCTGCACTGCAGATCCGGCTCAAGGCCGCCCAGAGTGCCTTGGTCCGGTCACGGCTGACTTCGCGACGATGGGCTGCGATGGCTGAGCAGTCTACATCTCGTTCGTGAATTGACAAGAGAGTTTTGGTTGAGAACGCTTTGTCTTGTGTAGAGGCCAAGGCAACACACCCAGCAGAGTATCCAGTATTTGAATTTGTTAATGGTGCGAGCCATCTGACTTCGAGCCGTCTGATTGTAAGACGTCTGATTGCGAGCCGTCTGACTGAGCCGGGAATGTAGTTGCGTAGTTGCTGGTGGCGTGCTGGACGCGGCTCGAATTTCTGGGGGCCTTGGGGCCGGGTTTCCGCGGCTGGGCCTCTGGGGGCCCTTTGTCCCGGGGTCGTCGGGTTCCTGCCTACGCTCCCCCCCTGCGGCCTCCCTCTCTTCCTGCTCTTTCTTTCTTCCTCCTTGCTTCTCCCCTCTTGGGGGGGTGCGTTGGCGGGTTCCTGTTCTGGTTCTGGGGTCTCTGGGGTGTCTCTTGGGTTCCTCGTCGCCTCTGTCTCCATCCCGCTTCATCTCGCCTCGTTCCCGTTGTGGCGTCAATCACCTGCCATGATGATG